GTCTCCACAGTGAAAATCACCAGAAATACGTACTCCACCTGTTCCTGGGGGCGGAGACGGAGATCGGGAATGTTATTTGTGTTGGGGGTTAATGGGGTATGGGGTGGTCGGGAAAAGGGCAGAGCAGGGACGGAGGGCGGGGCCGGGCAGGGGTGAGCCTTCGGGATCCGAGAGGGGCGGGGCTCGGCTGGAAGGCTTGAGGTGTGGTTCTACTGGGGCTGTACCGGACTGAGGGCGGGGAAGGGTGGAGCAAACCTCACCAGGTTGTGGTTGGCAGTGTTGGAGTCGTCTTCTGGGAAGGGAATGTAGACCCCCAGGGCCACGCAGTTGGCAAAGATGGTCAGCAGGATGAGGATGTCGAAGGGCCTCAGGTGGACACAGTCAAGGACCCAGACAAGGCAGCCTCAGAACTCGCACATTCCCTTGGGGCCCTCCCCACCCAATGCTCACCCTTGACCCCAAGGTGACCAGCCCTGACATTCCCGCCCCTGCCCTGCCCAAGGCCTTGACTCTGACTCCCCTGGAAAACTTATCCATCCTCAACTCTTCCTGTGATTTTGTGCTTGACCCTTGACATCCCCCCCTCCTCCCATGACTGACCTTCACTTTTCTCAACTTGTCCTTGAAGTCAGTACTTGACCCTTGATCCCTAGTGACTTTAGCCCTCCTCCATACTAGCCCTGACCCAGTCCTTGACTCTTGGTACCCTGGTGACCTTCACCCCTGAGGCCTGCCCCTGGCCGTCCAGGATGCTTCCACTCCACGATGCTGATGCAGGACCGCCGGACAGGGTTGGCCAGGGTGAGGCAGAAGAGTGCCCGGGGTGACCGCTGGGCACTGGCCACTGCCACTGTCTTGTGCTTACTGTGCTGAGTCCTTCGCTTTGGGGTCCCCAGGCCTGATGCCTCACAGATTTCACCCCCTGATTCTGGGGGCCCAAGACACAGCCCCCACTCAAGACCAAGGCCTGCCCCATTGGCTGTACTGGGCTCTGGGGCGATGTCTGTGGAGAAATTGAATCAGGAGGGACAGGATATTGGGGCAATCATGGCTGCCTCCTACCTGATCCCATCCCTCGGTCTAAGGGAAGGAGAAAAGAGTATGTAAAATTAGGAAAAGCTAGGGGTACCTGAGTTAAGGAGCAGGGAGTGAGTGGGTTTTGGAATTGATTGGAGATAAAGTAGGAATTTATAGGAGAGTGAGGCTGAGATTCTGTTTCCAAGTGAGGTAGGGTTTGATATTAGACTTGGGGTAGAATTTAAATTGGCATGGGGTACCATTAAGTTTATATAGCTGGAGGCAGATTTAAGATTAAATTCAAGTGGAAGATTTTGAGGTTGGATTTAAATAAAGGTGGGAGTGGAATGTGCTTGAGTTATGATTTAGGGTTAGGACTGGATATTTGAATGAGCTGGGATTAGAATTAGGATCAAGGTTGGGGCTGAAGTTAAGTTTGGATGGGATCTGAGTTTTGCCTTGGGGCTTTCAGCTAAGACCATTCCCAATTCTCATGCCCTTGTTTCAGCCTCTAAGGGGCAGTAGATTGACCTGGTTAAGAGCCCCAGCTTTGGAGGAAAGTAGCTGAGTTTCAATCCTGACTTTACCACTTGATAGTTGTGTGTGGCCTTTTGCAAGTTACATAACTCCTGAGCCTCAATTTCCTCGTCTGTATAATGGGGTGATAATAAGAGACCCTACATTATAGGGTTGTTGTGAGAATTAAATTAGTTCAACATTCAGAAGACTGGCACATAGTATTATTCTCATTTTTCAGGCAGGAAATTGATGCAAAAAGAGAGATTAAGTGATTTGATGAAGTGGCTGAATTGGGAGTCAAACCCAGGTAGACTCTGACTGCAGGCTCTCATGACACACTACCAGCATTGTGTGTCCTTTTTCTATTTTTTTTTTTTTTTTG